TTTGAAGGGTCATAGTTGACACGAGACAGAGGCCCAAAAGATCGTAGTTGGCAGGAGACCGGAGTCAGAAAGATCATTATTTGGCGATGTAGGTCGGAAAGACCGTAGTAGGCGACAGAAGTCGGAAGGACCATAGGCGGCAGGAGACAAGGGTCCGAAAGACCATATTTGGCAGGAAACCGGGGTCTGAAAGACTATTGTGTGGTGATGGAGGTCGGAAGGACTATAGTTGGCTTGAGACATGGATCCGAAAGACCGTAGAAGAAGGGAGATACTCTAGGAGAACTCTCGGCGTCAAGTAGTGGCCTAGCATAAGTTTGAGTCTCAGGTTGTGCTCCAGTAGATGTTCGGGTCTCAAGTGGCAGTCCGATAGAAGCCCGAGACTCAGGTAGTGTTCTAGCAAAACTCCGGGTATCAAGTGGTGTCCTAGTGGAGCTCGAGGGCTCAAGTGATGGTCCAACAAAAGTCTGGTCCTCAGGTGGTTGCCTGGTGGAGCATAGGGCCTCAAGTGGTGGTCCGGTGAAAGTCCGGGTCTCAAGTGGTGGTCCGACAGAAGTCTGTACCTCAGGTAGTGGTCCGGTAGAAGTTCAGGACTCGGGTGGTGGCCTGGTGGAGCATAGAGCCTTAAGTGGTGGTCCGGTGAAGCAACGACCTAAAGCAGTGGTCTGGCGGAGGTGAGGGCCTCAAGTGGTGGTCCGGTGGAGCAATGACGTCAGTTGGTAGTCAGGAAGAGGTGACAGCCTCAAGTGGTGGTCCGATGGAGCAACGACGTTAGGCAATGATCAGGCTGAGGAGAGGGCCTTAAGTGGTGGTCCACCGGAAGGTGAAAATGAATCAAGGTACGTTCTCAGCATATGAAAGGAGTAAGATCCTCTACCGCACTGAGTTGGTGGAATATTTTGTAAGGGCTTATCCGCCTAGTTGTGGAGACTAAAGAAGAGTCACTAAAGAGTTTAGTGTAATACCTAGAACGGGAGGTAAGGTGGAGTGGACGTAGGTCAGGTTGACCGAACCACTATAAATATCTGGTATATTTATTCTTGATTTTATTTTTTTGCACTTTATTTTTCACATTTATTTTTGTGATAACTGTGTGGTTGAAAATATCTGATTTTCTGTTATTATTAAATTACTTTGCTTTCACATCGAGAGATAAAATTATTAATTTTTAGATATTAAAAAAGCTTTAAAAAGAGGATTTCTTCTTAGTGTTTAAAGAAGTTTTTAAATTTCTAATTCACCCCCCTCCTCTTGGTTAGTCTCGAGCTTGTTCTTTAGGGTTTCACAATTCTCACGAACTTTTAAACAACATATACCAAACTATCTACGGTTCATCCTCTTTTCCACCTCGTTCTACTGTAATGTATTTTTAATAGTGAAGTGGTGCTCTATCCCATATTTCTAGCACTCTTATAAGAATATATCTAATATATATTCATCCTCATTATCTGATATGATACATCGAATCTGTTTTACCAGTCTAATTCTTGATTCACTTCTTCCAAGTTCTAAAAATCTCTAATACCTCACACTTGCAGTTCATTGTATACACCCAAATATATCTGAAGTAATCATCAATAAAAAAGATAAAATATCTCCTCCCATCAAATGATGTTGTCTTCATCGGGCCTCAAACATTTATGTGAACATACTCCAGAATACCCTTTGTATTGTGGATAATATGACCAAATGATACTCTTCAAACACATAATGTTCATAGAAAATTAGAACTTCATGATATATCTTTAGAACTCCAATCTGAATAATGTGTTATAGCCCTTAGTCTCTAAGGCTCCAATAAACAACAAATTCTTTCGAATATCTGGAATGTGTCTTACATCAATCAACTCTCTCATAGTACCATTATGCATTTTGATGAAGATGCTTCCTACACTAATACTACGATGAGTTTGATCATTTTTCATAGTCACTACACTTCTATCATGCTCCCTATAAGTACAAAATAACTCTCGAGTGCGATAAATATTATAGGTAGGAACAATGTTAAGAATCCAACATGAGCTCTCTGTATAAAAACTATGAGAAACTTTAGATAGTGACACATCAGAGTTTTTGTCACACTTTTTCACACTAAGATTTGTCCTTTCCTTAAAGGAAACTCTCTATCCTTTCTCCTTCAACTTTAGACAATCTTTCTTCCAATGGCCATTCTTCAAGACTTTGCTGGAAATCCCATCAAAATCCAACTCTGATACCAATTATTGTGCAAAATAATAGAAACAAGTAGAAATCATAATCAAACACAAAGTAATTTACATGGTTTGACGAAGGTGCCTACGTCAACAGGGAGGAGATTTTTTTTTTGTTTTATTATTATTGTTATTAATATTATTATTATTATTATTATTATTTACGTCCACAGAGAGGGGATGATTTCACTATATTGTGGAAAATAGGATTACATTTTGCTCTCTCTTTTAATAACAAACTTGATATATATATATAGAAACCCCTTAAGTAAATGAAAGCTAAACTCTTAAATATTGAGACGCCTTTTGATCTAATGGTTGGAATTTTCGTAAGAAACTCTGCAGTTAAATGTGCTCATCCCAGAGCAATTCAGGGATGAGTGACCTACTGAGAAGTTACACCAACTGGATAAAATCATGAGGCTCTTAGGTCAAAGCGGACAATATATCGATAGTTAAAAGTTTGAGCTATTACAGATACTATGACCAGTTAAGCTGTAGGTTCAAACATAACAATTGTTGTTCTTAAAAAATACTGCCTATAATAAAAAGTCATAAAGTATAATTTAGCACTTTTCTTCACCAATTTTAATAAAATTTAAAATCATATGATATATCTTTTTAAAATAAAATAGCAAAATATTTCCTAACAAGAACCAAAAATGAACTAAAAAAATGCTAATATGCTATTTGGGATTACTTTTATTTTCATTTTATTTTGTTTTATATATTTGCATGAAATAAGATATATTTGATATATTAAGAATATCTTCCTTTTTATTGAATATCAAGTAAGTTAATTTATTCGATGATGTCTATGATTGTCGAAGGAGCCAGTAGCAATGACAGACGATAAGAGTGTTTGTGCCCAATAAGATAAAATATCATGGTGGTCAACAATGATAGTGTTAAGAGCCAATGATGATTGATTGTGATAATTCTTTTTAAAAATACTTCAAATATTTAAAAATTATTTTAAATATTTTGAAAATAATTTCATTTATCTTAAAAAATTTAAAAAATAAAAAGTGCACATTAAATAAACATATTTTAAAAATATAAAAAAATGATCTCTAATAGATCCTAAAAAAACCTGGAATCCACATGCTTTACCTCTTACGATTGGCGTAACTAGCACACCATGCTCAGATTTTTATTTAGAATTTGTGCACATTAAAATAATGGCTAAACCCTAAATTATGGCAAAAATTTCTTTTGAAACGATTTTTTTACTGTCTTAAAATAATTTTTTATATAAAATTAAAATATTTATATCATAAAACTGTTTTAAAAAATAATAAAAAAATCATTTCAAATGAAATGAAGACTTGTACCGAGAACTTCCTAGTTTTTAAATTTGAATTACTCATGAAAACCAAAACAAAAACAAAGAAAAGTTTTGCAATTAACTTTACCTCGTGTCAAGGAACTTTTATTTGGTCCGATCACAGGACGTAGCTCTACGTTTGGCCGCAAGTAGAATCGCGTCATGCGTTCTCATTGTTTACCGTGCGCCCCGACAACCCGACCCGGAACGGACCCAGGATGGCTCGCTATTTCTCGATTTTGCTAGGTAATTGCTCGGTATTGCTAGGTATTGCTCGGTATTGCTAGGTATTGATCGATTCTGCTCGGCAACCAATACCGAGCAAATACCGAGCAATACCGATCAAATACCGAGCAAATACAGAGTTGTACCGAGTTTTTCTAGAAAAACTCGGTTTTTCTACCGAGTTGTACCTAAGTTTCTAGAAAAAACTCGGTACAACTCGGTATTTCTAGAAAAACTTGGTACGACTTGGTATTTCTAGCAAATACCGAGTTTTTCTAGAAAAACTCGGTAAGAAAAAACTCGGCATAACTCGGTATTTCTCGGTATTACTCGGTATTTGTTTTCACAGAGCGGAAATAACCAATACCGAGCAAATACCGAGCAATACCGAGCAAATACAGAGTTGTACCAAAGTTTTTCTAGAAAAACATGGTAAAACTCGGTATTTGCTCGGTATTGCAAGGTATTGGTCAATTCTGCTCGGCAATAACCAATACCGAGTAAATACCAAGCAATACCGAGCAAATACCGAGTAATACCGAGTTGTACCGAGTTTTTCTAGAAAACTCAGTACAACTCGGTATTGCTCAGTATTGGTCTTCACAGAACGGTATTTCTCATTATTGCCAAGCAATACCTAACAATACTAAGAATACCTCGCAATACGTGAACCTAGCATTCCTGGGTTCCGGTCCAGATCAAGTCGTCGGGCCGCGCAATAAAGAGTAAGAGCACATGGTGACATATTATTGACGGCCGAACGTACCTCTACATCCGATCACAGGACATCCGTGTCAAGAGCTATTTTTGGTTGGCTGAATCTCTTAATCCTTTGCGTTATTCGTCAATCTTTTTAAAAAGAAATCTAATTTTATTGCTCTTTAAAAACCCGTTTACATCAACAACGACGCACTAACCCCCTTTCCATCATAGCCTTTCATACTTTCTTATTCCAATAGCATCTCAAGCTTTATTTTGCACGTGCCATACAATTCTCAATTATATAATTTTTTATTACCATATTCAACAACAATTGAAATGATTGTAATATTTTACAGAGATATTATAAATTTTTTGTAAACAAATAATTTTTTAAATAAATATTATAAACAAAGAATCAACTACTTTCTTAATGTTATCATATATTAATAATTCTAATTATAAAAATAATTAAAAAATAATAGTCAAACAGAATAGTAATCATAAGCACTACTTGAAAAAAACAAAACAAATAATAAGATAGTAAAAAAAATATTCCAAATAAACCCTTAACCTCACATTTTCTTTATAGTATTTTGCTGCTTTCCCATCAAAGTTTCATCATCATATGTCAATTCGATCACATACATTCCAACTATAAATGATTACTATCAATAGAAATTTACATTGGCCAAATCAGATTTAAGGACTTGAGTTTGTAAAATTCCTTCCTTCAGATGAGGGGAAAACACTTCCTCAAAATGCTCTTTCACAAAGTAGCTTGCTCTGTATATTTCTTTGCAGCATATTTTAGCATTTTTCCCACCATATCATAATCCTCTGATGGCCATGCACATCTATTTTAATTCCATTCCACAATAAGCATAACAGCTCTAAAGCTACACTAAGGCCTCGGTTGAAATAGTTTTCTTACTGCTTCTTAACGCAGCTTTCTAGTATAAAAATTTAAATTTTTTACTAGAAAACTACTATAAGAAGTAGTTAAAAAGCCGTCCCAAACGAAGCCTAAGCTTGTATGGATTCGGTAAAGCAGTTCTATTTTATATGCTTTCTTGAACTACCAGAAGCTATCTGAATATCTCTGATTGAGATCAACATGTTAAATCCATGACAATGCTGTGCAGTACATTGCAAGTTCATTTCCTTCTCGTTTGTATAGCCTTCTAATTGCTTTGGAAACACCTATATCTCTGCAGAACCATCAATCAAACTGAAGGCTATTGAAGCCATTTACTGCCCCAAGACTTCCAAGCAATCTGCTTCCCAGATCCTGCTGTTGCTGGTGGTTCATGCCTACCAAGTTCTGCGAAAGATGATTTATTCCAATCCTCCCATTCATTGACATGGCATTATTGTTAATAGCCGCTCTTATTCCAGCTTCTGTGGATGTGGGAGTAATACCACCACTCATCCCCCCAAACTCCATTGCCCCAGATACAATGCCACTTCCAACCAGACAGTTACCTCCAGTTAGACCCACCCGTGCGATTCCGCCGATTCCCTTCAGCTCATTTACCGTCGTACTAACACCATTTGCGTGCGGCGACATCAACATTTCATGTAAAATCTGCTGGACAGAGGTTTGAGAATCATTTGGATCAGCTTCATGTGTTTGTTTACATGGCTGTTCTGTTGTAGATAAACTAGAAAATGAGTTTCTGGAACTGAAATGAGATGTTGGAACTGGATTGTTATTTGATGAAGATGGCGCCATGGATAGGAGGGAAGATGGTGTTGCTGAATCAGAAGAGCTTGCTGATGGTATCTGAACTGTATTCCCAACACCATATGGGCTACTTACTGTGCTCATCGGGGTTTCTTGTCGAGAACTAATAGTGTTCTGAAGAAGGATACTGCTAATGCCTGGTGTAGATGCAGATATGGAAGTTGCAGCACCAATAGAGTTATTGACTCCAACACCACCATTGCAGGCAGAAATCTGCATGCCCTTTGGATGAGACAAATTCTGATTACTTTGGTTTAAATTCTGAGCCATGCATTGCTGCTCTTTCAGTTGCTGTGTTTGATGATAGTTAGGTACTGTAGAAGCATTCGCTCCTTTAGGGAAGTTGATTAGGCTATCTGAATGAAAAAATCCATGCAGTATCAGGATCTGAGTTGTGTCATATTATACATCATATTTATGTAACTGTGTCAAATAATCTATATTTCCAAATTCCAAATATATATGTTGCAGTTTGCAAATGACTTGACATTATCGAGAAACCGTAATATTATGCAAAGAACACTTAAAAAGCCAAGCTACTGTAAATGATTCTCAGTCAACCAAAATACTATGCTTTATAGCATTAATTTATTTTATTATAAAGCTTAAGCTGAGCTTCAACATGTTCCGGGTTTGAAATGTTATTGAAACATGTTTATTAGTTTTATTATAAAGTTTGAACTGTGAACCAGTTTTAATCAAATCTAACTAATTATAAGTTTAATGCTAAACTCATAAGGCTTATTACATGATATACATGAATTTATAAATTTTCATTAAATTTGAATAATTTATTAAATATAATTTATATTCCTTGACAAAGTTCAACTATTTATTAAAAAAAAAAGTTTATATAGTAACTATATGTCTTAATATTGTCATCATATTTATGCATGTAGAATACACTAGTTTAAAAAGGTATAAATTATATTTAAAAATTTGATATGAGAACCTAGAATAAATTATGAAATAAATAATTAAAAAAATCAATAAATATGCAGGGTATTGAACTATTAATGAGTTATTTATTAAACAACAAACATACCAAAAATAAATAAATTAACAAATATTTGTTCCTTCTTAGGTCAAGTTTTTAAAACTTTGCCTATGAACGTAAAATAGCCTTAATAAAGAAGTATCGACTTGTTCATCGAGTGCTCTGGTTAGCTTAAAACCCTAGCCACCATTTGCAAAGGTGAAAGTACTGCAACCGGTTCTAGAAAACTGAAACCTGGAGAGTGGATATATCCCACAACACCTGTAGCTATAATGCATTGTTGTTATAGTATGTACTTAATTGAGTTGTGAGAATCTAAAACAGTAAAAACCTTACAAAAGATGCATGATTAGTAAAGGACAGCTAAAAATTTGTCAGATAAAATTAGATTCACATAGCAACTTTGCATCTTTGAAGCAGCATGAATTAGATCAATAAGACGGCCATAAAAATGAGAGACTTAAAAGAGCAGCTTACCCATAGGCCCAGTGTCAGTTTCTCTGCTATAATCAATCAAATCCTTCATACTGTTTACAACTTCAGAAATCTGATGAAATTTGGCATTCAAATGAAACAAGATTGATCAGGATTCAGGAAACATAAAATGCACAATTAGTAAGGAACTTACATATTCGTGAAATCAAAAGAAAATTTCATTGAATCAAAGCTTGTAGGATTTCATAAGTTACCATCACACTTCCTCGGAATTTTACAGGTTGATTCAATCCTTTGCAGACTATTGCAAGTGAACGCTAACTAAATTTCCCTCTAAAGGGGCAGCACAATTGTTGGAATCATAAAAATCCATATCTAATCAAACACAAACTTCGACATAGAGCATCAGCCAACAAAGATAACTTACAGTAACTAAACCATGATTAAGTTTGTTCGAAACTGATAAATAAGATACTAAATAAGCTCAGAACAACCGAAATCATGCCTACAAGATCCAACCCTTTGTGTTGAATCCATGGAAACAAAATTGTCTTATAGATTGAATGTCCAAAAGCCCTGAACTAGCGGGTTAAATGTGAACTTTCCCCATCAGTCTTTCTTGTATGCATAAGGGAGCAACACAAAGCCTCTCCACATGCACGAAAAGGAGGAATCTCAGTGGAGCATCGCCGTGGCCGACCACTTGGGGATTTGCTGGAGTGGCCTTCCTTAAGCTCTCCTCAAGAGTGGTGCATTGTTGCATTTGATCCCCTCAGCACATGCTCCTTCATTTGCAAATCATCCTAAAAGATTTGTGCTTCATACCAATTCATGATCCATTTGATACCAAAACGGATATGGGGGAGGGGTCATTTGAATAATTAAAATATGAATTTAATTTCAGATTTAAAAAAAAAGGGGAAGTGGAGGGAAAATTTGAATTTCAAATCACCTTAATTGGGAAGGGATTAATTAGGATTTGATGAGGGATGGGGATCGGCGGTTACTAGGGGTGATTGGAGTTGATTGAGGGCCTTAATGAAGAGGCATTAATTAGAGAGGAGGTGAGAGAAGGGGCCGGCCTTATGGAGAGGGAGGAGAAGTGTCCACATACAACGTATGTGGATCAAGCATTAAATGGTATGTGGCGAATTAAATCTGAAATTAATTTCAGATTGAGAGTAATTTGAGGAGTCTCCCTAATATAGAATTTATTAAATTGGAAATTTTTTGAAATTCAAAATTTTTTGAATTCAAAATTGAATGATTTTCCAAATTAACAAAATCTAATTTAGGAAGGTAATCAAGAGGCTATTTTGAATTCAAAATTCAAAATTTGTGGAGGGAAGAGGTTAGGGGTGAGGTGGTCGGCCAACTATGGAGATGGAGGGGTTGATGTTTGATCCAAAAGAAAAGTTAACCAAAATCAAACGAAATAAAATAAAAACAGATGGTGAATGATGGAGATTATAGATGAGAGGACGGATAAAAAAAATAAAAATAAAAATAAAAACGATACAAACCACGAGCCCGGACTCTTCCTGCGGCTGGTGGGTACTACGTTGTCCTCCTCGAGAGACTTCAATCCACGAGCCCGAATCCATCCCGCGGCTGGTGGAAACAAGATTGTCCTCCCATAGGACTTTTCCTCTCCAGAACTCACACAGAGATCAAGAAAAAGGCTCTAATTCTTTTTTTTAATAATCCATCATGTTCTAATACAAGAGCATAAGCCTCTATATATAGGCTTAAAAAGAAACTAAAAGACAATTTTGCCCCTTAGACTTACATAAAAAAAAATCCTTAACGGTAAAAAAGAAAAATGCATAATTAAATAAAAATTACAATTAATAAAATAAGATAAAATGAAGGGATCTCGGCCGTCGATCTTGGTCTCTTGCTTTGATTAATGCCCACCGTTGGATGTCCGCATCACTGACCATTGAAACTCCATCACCACCTAGAAAGTCATGGCATCAAGATCTATCATGTGGTATATTCAAATCAACAATTAGAGAGATTAATGATGGCAACATCGCCATGGCCAGCCTCTGGGGCCTATTAAACTAACCTCACATTAAGTTCTCATCAAGAGCATTGTGCTAATGGCCTTTAATCACCTAAATGCAAGCTCCTCGCAATGCAAATTTTCCTAAAAATTTAGGCTACCTTGATTTGTTGCAACCTCCATAGACCATTGTGGGCTCCGAAAATTTTGCACTCCAGCCTCTCCACACTCTTTTTTTTTTTCTTTTGTTAATGGCGAAGAGTTTTAACGAGCTTAGGTTCCAGGTAAAATTTCAAAAGGCAGATTAGATTTTAGATAAGACACTACCTAGAGATTTCGCCCTCATTTTGTGAGGACTTTATAATATGAGTTCTGGTTTCCTATAGGCGCAAGCCCCTATAGTTAATTACCCCTCTCGATAACGAGAGAAAACTTTCGATTAAGACTAGTTGTGGGTAGGTATTAAGTATCAAGTAATAGCAACATAATTAAATATTTGAATTTGATATTAGAATTTAAAGTTTATGATTTTTAAATTTATCAACATATACTTAAAACAAGTGATGGGGGAAATAAAGATAAGCCCAATCAAGATTCCATTGTTCCGTCATCCCGAGATGTCATGGTGCCTGGTCTACTTAATCATAGGAGGTAGTCGACCCAACCTGATAGAAGACACCTTATCCGGTAATCATGGGTTGCTTCATCCAAGAATACCTTATAGACCATGGATTGTGTTTGTCTAGGGAGATAAATTTGAATCTACCTTAACTAACAGAGAGTTTTATACCTATCGAATATACACTACGATTCATTACTCAAGGGTCTGAAGCCATTAGGGAACATACGGGCTTTGGCCGTGATCATAATATAATGATGTCATTTTGAGACAAAACTATCCGATCAGAGGGAACGTCCCACGTCCTTGCTAGCAAGAGACTATTTGAAGAAAAATCTTAGTGATAAACCTGACATGACATTCGCTATTTGTGAGCTAAGGTTAATTTTGAATTTACTACCCATGACAAACAATTACTGAATGTGGATGAGTTTTAGTTTTAAGTTTTGGTGACTAGATTTTGAAGATTTTATAGGCTTTTAGGAATTGGCCCCTCCGGTTGAAATATACTGTCAACAAGGCCATCATCAAGGTGACGTCAAAATCACTTGCATTTTCATAGGAATTTGGGAGGCATTTTAGATATTTTAGATTATCTTTAATTGAGATTTTCTGTCAACACGGCCATCATCAGCTCATTTGAAAATAATCTATATTTTGTAGAGTTTTAGGAGGCATCTTATAATTCAAGTCAGGTCGACTCCAATTCTTCTAAGGAGGAGGACGAAACTTGAATATTTGACCAGTGCAACATTTTCGGATCGTTGGATTTATGAATCAAATGTGACAATCGAAGAAGAAAAGGGTTGCATTTTTCAATAATATATTATAGCTATTGTAGAAGTACTCGAACACTTTTCGCAAATCCATGAAATATTCTCACTATTTGGTTTACGTTTAGTAATATTTCCCTTTAGCTGTAAGACCTTCCAATCATCGTCTATACAAACTTTCCTCGTCAAGGGTTTCTCTGACACTTATATCATAATTAACATGTAGGTGCCAATGAAGTATGATCTCCATTGAGAGCATGCAGGTAGCATTTCAGATGTAAATGTAAGAAGCTCAACATCATCAAGCTTTCATTTGGGAGCTAAATCTTTTTTTTTTAATATTTTATTCAATAGACTACTGCAACTATTCTCATAACTATTGTTATCTTTAGCAAAGTAAAACAGAGTAATGTTTTCTTCCTTATTATCAACTCTTTGATAATGTAATGGCAATGAACCTGTTTGAGATGCTTCTTCTAACTACATTTTGCTAGAAATAATGCTAACTACTTCAAGCAACTATGAAATGCATAAGTTGATTAGTGAGCTTGAATTTCATCAAACAACTGTAGGAAGTCATCATATCTCAGAACATTAAAACTACTTTATCATATGGATTCAAGCCTAGGAATTGTGGATGCCTTTAATTGGCTTATAATATCACACTAGATGAGCTTAGATTTCCCAATTTTCTACCAAATGGCAGCTCCCATTTATACAAGAAACAATCACTTGTTTCCATAACCCTACTATCATCCAATGCATCTACAACAATAGCCCTAGGGTCCAAAATATTCCCCAAAGATGATCATATATATATATATATATATATATATATATATATGGTCATGAGTGCTAGCTTCCATAATCTAGCTAGACTTGTGCCTAATCCCTTTGCTTCAAGCTGTCTACCAAGTTAGGAGCAGTAGAAATCAAAATCCAAATTGACATATCTTCAAATGATGATCCTAGAAAGATTTTGCAATTTGTTTTTTGCATGCTCTTCATGATATGCTATGCAAAATTGTGTGCAAGGAAAAGTTGCATTCACTTGCCAAATAAAGAAACTGGAATAATTTGAAAGACTATGCTTCAAGGAGAAGAAAACTGGGTCAAAAACACCCTCTTGGAAATTTCCATATGCCAAAATCATCAAGTCATTTGCGACCAATTATCAGAGAATCATAGTTTGGTACTTTTTTCAATTCCAATATCGTAGGTGATATGTGATCAAGGATTGGCAACATGGACTCTAAATTTTCATTTCGGTTTCACTTCCTTTCCAATGACCATTGTAATTGTATTATGTAATTAGCTCATCCAAATTAGTCAATCCACATTGATGGTTGGGAGCCTAAGATTAAATCCACCAATATTAAAGTTATTTTAAAGTAAGTGATTTCAATCCCAACCATCCAAAATGGAATTATGAGTATGATTCACGCGTGATCCTTTTTTTATCAATTAAAATCATATAGAATTATTATTATTTTAATTTAAAATGATAGACTTTGTTTTAAATTAATTATGTGAATGTCATTTATCAGTTTCAATTTCGACAGCCTCCCGATGTCCCATCTTTGCGAGGGGAGGTTGAGAGACACTAGCCTTTGACTCTACCTGCTCAGATCTAAAATACAACGGCGTGGAGTCTTTGAATTAGCAATCATCTCACTAGGATCTAAGATACAAGTGTGCGAGACCTTCAATTT